CAGCAGCAGTAGTAGTAGTAGTAGCAGAAGTGGCCGTGGTGGTGGTGGTGGTGGTGGTCGTGGTAGTTTTTTTGTTGTTGTAGGCATTGTAGTTCTGTTGAAGCCGGAGGAGTAATTGTAGTAGTGCTAGTCGCAGAGAGACTGATCCTGTGTATGCTTTGTGAAATTCCACACCTCGAGCATCAGTTAATGATGTGCGACTGTAGCAAGACTGGTTTGTATACATGTTTGCGTTTTGACACGCATGACAGGATGACATGTGACTTCGCCGTTCCTGTGTAGGCTGGTCTTTTTTCATACAGTGTCGCTTTTGCCACCATGATCGATGACGTGCGACTTCTCCTTTCGTCTGTAATTAGAAAGAGTGGTTTGAGCATAAGGTGTTGGTTCGTTTTACGCTGCCCCGCTACAGAACGATGATGTCGGACTTCCTTGTGTTTGTGGCAAGGCTGGTTTTGACTGTTTCGCTATACCTCATACACGTTATTATAAAGCCATGATGCTGCTGTACCACTTCGCCTTCTCTTTCTGGCACGACTGGTCTTGTTTACATTAGTTCTTTTCGTGTCAACCTAATTAATGAAGCGATGGCGTGCGACGTGTTCTGTGCTTGCAGTAAAGGTGGTTTTGCTTGTAGGTTTTTTTTTTTATATCTTACCCCCCTCCCCCACAAAGCAATAACGTGCGACTTTGCCGTGTGTTTGTTGTAAAAATTGCGCTATTTGTAGCTTTTTCCGCTTTACACCCCCCTAAAGTGAGCACGAATGACATACTTGTAGTAAAATTGTGTTTATACGTTACTTCTTCTCTTTACCAGTCGTAATCGGCGTCATCAGCAGTACTAGGTCAGAATCATGGTGCTAGTGTTCGTAGCAACAATAGTAACCAGTATAATCACAGATTGGAATGATTACAATGTATTGCACAGTACAACAACAAATACTCGCATTAATCGTAATAGTACGAGTAGCAACGGTAATAAGTGTAATCTTTGTAGTAGTTGAATGTTTGAGATGATCACCAACAAAAGCATGATCTGAATAGTCATTGAAACGGAACTGAGCGCAATAATACCAATCTTAAACTGAACAAACTATCATATAAAGACTATACAGGTATTGCCGCGAAGATGATTGGTTCAAAGGACCATGAGGTCAATGGACCAGGAACAAAACACAATTCGCCCAAAAAGAGAAACCTCCCGAGCAATCGGATCGGTCCCGAGCTCCGATGTAAATCCACCGCTGTGCCGAGCCCCACGAAGAAGATGTGTGGTTCCGCTCCCACCGCACCCACAACGGACGGGGGAAGGCACATTCGCGGAAATTCTCCAGAGGCAGTCGAATTGCGAGAGAGTGAGAGGTCTGATGCATGCCGGTTCGCAGGACCTCACAGCTCATGGCCCTGAGTTAGAAAGACTTTACCAATGGCCGGTGGTTCGTGACTGTATTCACTGCGAAGTGGAGACTCCTACCCCGCCCCATCTCGCACAGGAGGAAACTGAGACGACTGCCCCGGAGCATGAGGACGTCAATCGGGGCAAGATGAAATGTGGGCCCCGATTGACTTGATTGGCAAAGCCGCATCGTGTCTGCGGTCATGTGACATGGGCAGGACTTGCCGGAGCCCACACCTCGAAGGCAGGGCACAACACGGCGCGGCTCGGTAGTTGCGACAGCCTGGCCAGGCCGCACCCACCGGGCCCGGGCCCGGTCGGCCCCATCGGCGACGTCGCCATGCCTGCCTCGCAGTGCGAACGTCATGCTCGAATCGAGGCAACGCGGCAATGCGCCTTTCTCTTTCGCTGCTGGTCTGCTGGCAATCCCCGACTTGACAGGCTCTGATGCGTCGACGCCGTTACGGTCGTCGCTCTGTCATCAAAAGCTTTCCTGGGCGAATGAATGGGCATGCAGTGTGTCCGACTAGGGACTGCTTCGGGCCCCTGTGAACTTTGCGGACCTCTTGCTACTTGAGCCTGTGTTGAGACCCAACTGATAACATGTCCGAGAGACACTCAGAGAGGGTCGCGGCCCGCCTCGGATTTGCGTCTTATTGCCGACTCCACTTACAGTCACTTACATACATATTAAGGAACTATCGTATAACATGCTTTCGTTCTCGTCTTGGTGGTACAATTTCCCACCTCGGCAGCAGTTTGAAACAACATGCATGCAACCCCCATGCCCGAAGCACAATGAGAAGCAGACAGCCTGTACATGAGAGCACTGTCCGAGGAGAGCGCATCATGGAAGACCCACATTTCTATCGAGAAGGACCCAGGCAGCAGACGAAGCTAGGCTCAAATGGCATGACTGCGTAGGGAGACGATGGGAGACGTTTTCCAGCCACAACAGCCGCCACATCCTTGCCCAGCAGATGCAGCAACATGCATGTCATGTTTAGCAGGTGCGTTGTGCCTCATTGGCTCCTGGCTCTAGCATGTAATTCACCTCACTGACGAGAGCTTTGACACCTCGCCAGCAATCACCAGTGGCAACGAGGCTTTCAGCAGGTGGGCCGAGTAGTTGTCAATGTGGTGAAGCAGAAGATGCTTGCAAAGCACGCTCAACTCGCAGCTATGGGGCATGTGCCAGACTAGCAGGAACGCCGAATGCCGAGGAACAGCCTTCCACCACCACGTGTCAGACGTCCGCGAATCGCGCACTCAGATGTGTTCTGACCGCACAAGCTGCCAGTTTCGCACCATGCCGAGTGAAGACGCACGGAATGGCAGCTGAGCCAAGGATCCTGTCGAGAAGCCGGAGTCGCCCAGATGCTTTCAAGCTTTTCGCTGCCAACTTCAACAAAGTTTCAAGCTGAGGCCGCCTGAAGCGCCACCACTCAGCGCCCGCGGAGAACGGAGCCCTTCGCTGCCACCCTTGCCACCCATCTCGGGGGAAGGGCGGGAAGGGCGGTTCGGGAAGCCGAGCGTCCAAAAACACTTCGTTCGCTTAGAGCGCCAGCCCGGCCGTGACCGCCTGGGCTTCGGACGCTCGGACAGCAAGGTGGCCAGGGCAAGGGCTCTCAGGCCCAGCTGGTCTCTGTGGGGTCCTGCAGTGCTGTGCTGGGCTTCTCAGGCAATGTTTCCGCGGGAACGCCGCAAGCTCCGGCCACTGGTCTTGACAGATGTCGGGCTGCAGTTTCCAACAGCCTATCCCCCAACTGGAAAACTAAGGTTGCGATTGCTAACGATGTACATGTTGCTATATTGGTTTGACTAGGTGACTCGGTTTGTGTGAAGAGAAAGTAAGTCGTGATCCGACTCCTGCGAACTTGCGTTTCGGTTCTGCTTGGTTCTACTGTGGTGAGTAATTACGCATGTGGCGCTTCGGCTCGGTTGAACACAGTTCGGTTGCACCGGTGTCGTTCAGGTTTCGTGATCCTCGATCCAGCTTACAGTCTCAGACGCATGCGTGTCGTCTCTGGGGCTCCGGGAACCGGAATCAGGTGCTCGTGATAAGCTGGATTCGGGATGGGGCGCTGGCAGACTTCAACTATGCAGCTCCAGAAGGTCACCGACGGAAGGGTCGCCACGAAACTCGGTGTGCTTGCACACCTCGGACGGTGTGACCAGTTGCAGCTAGCGCTTCGAAGACGGTGATGCGGTTTTGCGAGTGACTGTTACGTACTGCACAGCTGTGGCGAATCCAATGGAACAGGCTTGGCGGTCCCGGTTAACTCTGCCATTGCACGGAGCCAAGACATGTGAAAGCAGCAGCTTTAGTAGTGTTCACAGACTGTACCCATTCATTGCTTCCATGTTGCATCGAATTCTACAGTTCCTGCAGTAAGTTCTCATCAAAGCTCTCCGGGCGAGCATGCCAAGCAAAGAAGCTTCGGGTCAACGATGGGCCGGGTTGCTTGGGGGCTTGAAAGCCGCTAGAGGTTGTTGGCCATAGGAGGAGGTTTCGCACATTTTCAGCGCCCCTCACGTTGCTGCTGTACACACCGCACCGGCTACGCGGGCCCCTGACTCCTGATGCCCAGGTGTCCGTCAACGGGATCTCGGGCGATGTGCAACGAATGAGAGAGGCACTGCGATCACAGGCGCCTGCCGGGGTACTTTAGATGCAGTCTGGCCGCTACACTGCTACACCTGTCATCACCTGTCCTTTATTCGATGCTTGGGCATTTGGGCAGAGACAGACATCACAAGCCGTTGTAGACAGAGTCCAACCCAAGAGACGAAAGAAGCATGGCCTGCGAGTCTCGAGTCAGTCGTTCCAGCACTTATCTGCCCGAGCATATTTCACGAGCTAGCTTTCACTGAACCGCACGATGCTTGGAACGAAGTGGCTTCATGTAGGATGCACAAAACTTCGCAGTCACGTAGCTGCTACGCCAATGCCTCATGCTGCATCAAGAGTTGAACAACTCGCAGTGCTCTCTGTACAACGTCAAGAATCGGGCTCACATCGACAGAAGTGTGTGTGAGTCTTCAGAAAGACCGGGGAGGTTGTGGAGATGGAAGTCATGGCTCCAGAACGGTGGCGCTACTCGAAGGCCGGCTTTCAAGGGGTCGAGGCCATGGCTTTCATGCTTTCGAGAGCTGGCCCAGGTCACGAATTCAATGTTTTGAAGGCCGCAGCTCGGCTGCATGCCTGCATTACAACTTCAAGTCATTTTGATGAAGCCCCTTCGACTTTTGCAAGGATCCATGGGCTTGCAAGGGCATCCTGCACACTGTGGTTGAACAAGATCAGAGGGTGCACCTGCTGCGAAGACCGCAGCAGAATTTTTTACAGTCTGCGCAAGTTTGGAGGTCACGGTATTCGAGGTTTATGACGCTGTGGTTTCCGACCACGCGGCTTGCGTAGATGTGGGCGGGATCAGCACAAGCACTGCCCTGCGCTAACGGAAGTCACTGCCCCGATCTGGGCCCGATGCAATCAAGAGGTTGCAGCACGACTACGCTTGGAAGTCGCAAGCTTCTGGATTTCAAAGTTATGCCCATAGACAACGCCTGAAGCATGTTCTTCGATCCGCGCATTTGATGGCAGGAGCTCGACAGGAACCCTGAGTTTGCTCCTCCTGGCACAGAGCCTCTTGCCCAGCGCACGCTCGCCGATAGTCACGCTGCAGGCAGAAATTGGTTTGGGAGAGTCACGGTTGCTAATTGTCTTCAGGGCTCAGAACATGGAGCTTGTCATCGGCTGGAACGGCGTGCAGCAGAAGAAGGACGAATCGCAGGTGGGGGGGAGCGCGGTGGAATCGCTGGCAAGAAGTGACAGTATTATGTTTCAAGCCTGACTGTGAAGCTCAATTGGACATGTTTACCTTAGATGTTTTTGAAAACTCTGCAAAGCTGGAGGTGCCCAACTTCCCACAAATGGCCGGCCTCATCAGCGCAGCAGAAATGATGCTGAAGGCTTCTGCTTCAGTTTCTTTGCACAACCTTGTGCACGAGCACGCCAACGTGCGCCGGAGCCAGTCCAGCCGAATTCAATTCGAAATTCTAGCTTCGAGCCCACAGAGTTTTTATCATGCTTGGGAAAGCGTCGGAAAGATGGTGCAAATCGAATCATGGCCGAACTAGACTCCGTCTACTCAGTAGCAGCACAACCTACTGGAGTGTTTCACAGCATCTGCTCGGTTCCATGCTGGTCCGCCTCCTTGCCACTTCGGCCGGCCTTTGTGGCGCCTCGCTGCCGGAGGCCGGAGGCCTCTGCTTCCAGATAGGGCATACTTCAGACCATTCATTCTGGTATCGTGTGACCCGGACCGAATGTTGGTGGAATCCTGCAGCTGTGCGGACCGTCGCACTCAAGGCGGGCGCGAAGCCCAAGGCTGATGTGAAAACACTGCAGGACAGGGGACGTCTCGCCGAAGACCAGTATCCACATATCGAGAGCTCTGTCTAGCTGTCATGAGTCCATGAGTCGGTGATGCGACCTTCACTCTAAGCCAAAGAGCAAATAACTCACGCCAAGGAGGTGGAGCAAGCAACGAGTGGGGGCAAGTACCCTCGAGCGTTTCCACACGGCGTGCTGAATGCGGAGTGGAGCAACGATCGGAAGATTTTGCGCAAGTTGCGCAAGGCGATATAAGCTTATGGACGGGGGGAGTGGGAGATACCTGCCACTGCGGAATCATCTCTCCAATTCTTGCAGGGTGTTAGCTAGCCGAGGCCTAGGCCTAGGCACTCCTAGGGTCCTAGACTGCTCGGAGGCTTTACGAACGGGCAAACCCTTCGTGATCAAGGACTTCCTGTTCGGTCCGGTTGCAGAGGCTAGCAGTGGCATTGTCACTTGCAGAGTTAGGCCCCTGCCGGTTGCTGCAGCAGCCTTGAACGCTTTTGTGGCAGAAAGGCCTTGCTGCAGCAGCTGCAGCAGCTCAGCGACTTAGGAGCACATATCAAAACAGAGCCTGGCTGGGAAAATTAGACGCGAAGCATTCTGCCTTTAGCTAAGGTGATCGGCAGGATGACGAAGACGAAGAGGGCTATCCGTTCCAAAGACTGACGGAAGGCAGGTTGAGACGTTCTGCAGTCCAGCTTTAGGAAAGCCGCAGTTGAATCCTTTGGCACAAGCATCTTGGAATGTGTCGAATAATATTGATGTGCCTCCACCTAATTACGGAGAGACCTTCATGACCTTGCTCCTCTACATTCCACTACTGGGAGCAGTCTCCAGCATGCTGCGAAGGCCCATTTCACTCTCAGCCAAGGGGTTGGGCACCTTTGAAGCCCAATCCGTGCACACAGGTGTCCTGGCCCAACTAATAGCAAAGCGGGTGGGTTGTTAACGAACCTCATGCGCGGCACCCGCCCAGGTTGTCTCGGATTTCTTGGAAACGCGAAAACACCGCTTCGCCTTTACGGGGCACATCTTAATTGGTCGGAACCTGGGAGGAAGTTTGGTTTGGTGATGTTTGGTGTTGCGGTGTAGGGGTGCGACGTTCTTGGCACGTGCCTCAGCAAGGACAGGGGACAAGCACAACGCCTGGCATTCCGCTTTCCGTCAAGCCATGGAGCACCCGGCGGTTGTTCAGTTCTGGCAGGCACACTGTCGGCACGGTCTCGAGCCTGAGAAGCAGCCGCGTTTGCTCGTGTCCTGCCATTAGACTCATTCATCTAACAGAGGATGTGGTGGCTATGGCAAGCACCGGCATTTTTCACAGACTTCGGAAATCCCTGCGTTGGTAGGCGCTCACTGGCATGCCGAAGTGGGTGACCCGCTACGATCCTTCATGGTCTTGGCTCCGCATTTGCAGAAGGATGCAAGTACAGTGTCTGCTGGTATGTAAGCAACTTTTAGCATAACCACAAGCCAGGATTGCGCCCTGAGAAAACGCTGATAGCCACAGGCTTCGCCCTGGTGACTACTACGGCCTGCATGCCGACGATGCGCAGGTCTCTCGCATTGGTGACCGGCCACGAAGCATGTCATGTTGTGCCAGAAGGAAGCTAGTGACGCTTGCTCCCACCTGATGTCACCTGTTTGCTCACAGAAGGCATTGACGGCTGTAGAGATCTGAACTTGCAGGCGAGATACCTCGCGTTGACCATCCACCTAGCCAGTGGCTGGTTCTTCTGGCATGCTTCAACCAGCTCGATTCGGAGCATGTTTCCCTGGACTGCTCAGCAGGTCCGCAAAACAAGGAGGCGAGCTTGTTTGGTGCGGTCCAGAGGGAAATGGCGATGTGACCATCGAGGTCGTCCGAATTTTGCCCGTCTGTTCAGCTCGACCCGACGCCATCCATTGAGAGGCCCCTGATCGGCCTCACTTCCACAAGAGCTTCAATGTCTCGAAGGGGGGCAGCGCTTTGCTGCCGAGCTTCAATGTGGCGGTGGTCTTTCCTGTCTTCCAGTGGCTTGGTTTGGTTGCTCGGAGTGTGATTGATGGCTGCACATGAGCAGGGTTCCCACAAGGAACAGCTACCATGCTGTGGCGCCTGTACATCATGGTGATGGCAAAGGCGAACCTGCTGCAGTTTTCGCATCCCCCGCGCCCGTTCCGTTGTTGTGTGTTTCCGGCACATGCATGTGTCGCACAATGCTGGCTGCTTCGTGCTGCGACCAAGCGGTCTTAACAAGCAGTTCAATTCACGAAGGCAACCACCGGCCACCTCTCAGACACACCGGTATGCATGCAATACTGAAGCATCCACACCCAATCAAGACTGCATCAAGCTCACTTAGCCGTTTCAACACGCTGACAAACCACCACTGGTAGCTTATCGCAGGCCGGCGATTCACGCTTCAAGGCTGGCATCCTGGATGCAACCACTGTTCAGCTAAGCATATGGCATCGTGCCCACGTGCAGTGTCTTGCTGGTCAAACCCCCGGAAGTCGGGTGAAACTGAGTCGAGGTATGTGGATCCATGCCAACTGCAGGAAGCCACTTGGCAGCGACTACACCAGCTTGACCGGTAGGGTTTGTGGCCTGTTGCTCAACCAACCGCCCCAGCCCGCATGGCAGACTATGTTTGCATGGAAGCAGCCACGCGTGGGAAACTCATCAGACTTCGTGAGAAGTTTTGGGCTTAGGCTTAGGCGTCCTGGCATTTGTATGGGTGAGGCGAGTCTCGCTGCAAGACTTCTCAGAAGCACATTCCAACTCAGATGGTGTGCTAGGAAGCCTTGACACATGTACTTTGGGGCTTGGGGTGCTCTCCAAATGAGTCGCGCGGGGACTTAGGCCAAAGGCAGCTGCATGCCCGACGCCATGCGCAAATTCAAGGCAAGCTTTTTGTGCAGAGCTTGAACTGGGGCCGGTCGTTTCGGCTTCACAGCGTGCCAGGAGTGGTCAGAGAAGATCGCTGCCAAGTCCACTGAGTGGGGCAAGGGGCCGTGCCCTGCCTGGATTAGCCTTTAATTTGGCTTGCTCAACTAGCATGCGACTCCTCAGGACTGGCCTCCAAAGACCGAAAGCTCGCAGCCGCAACGCTGAGTTGTGAGTTCGACGTTTGCCCTGCAGTAAAGCAAATCCTTTTGGGCAGCACGTCGGTGAACGCAGGCCTTTCATGTGCCGGTGCTGGCATCAAAAAAGGAAAGGGCGCAGTCAGTTCCAACACTGCCAGGACTGCTAGGAGCATGTATGAGCATGTCCTTGCTCAGCAGAGAGACAGAGAGCATCAGCCACAGGAAGCATGACCGTCGAACATGCGCACCGGAAAAGAGTGTGATAGCTGAACAAAGCATTATATGACTCATCACCTTCGGTCAAAGAGTCTTTCCAAAGCCAGGCCCAGAACGAAGCCAAATGGGCCGCAGAGAGCCCTGGCCATGTTTGGGACCGCTTAAATGTGAGCTGCAGAGCAGTCTTTCCGCATCTGCGCGTCCCAGCTTTGCCGTGTGCCCCACGCCAGGAAGGCATCGAAACCAAAGGCATCAGGCAGGGTCAATGGCAGGGCCTGACAGGCTAGCTTGGTGTGGAATGGCAGATGTAAGACTGTACCACTGTAGCGGACGGAGAAGAGAATTATTGTATACTCAGGCTGAGAATGTTAGAGTCTAGCCCCCGTGCTCATGGCTCCGATGCTTTTTCGAACGAACGCCTCTTGATAACTATGGTGACTCATGGGTGCCGCGATGAACCAAGACTTCAACTTCTGAGGCAAACTGCAGAAATGCCGAGAGAAGTGAAAAGGTTTGTTCTAGGACCCTGAGCAGGTGGTGGTGCAGCTGCGGAGGCAGAGAAGGCGACGCCCATCACACGGGTCAGATGCGGTAGGATGAAGAACTAATGCATCGTTGCAAGGCGGAAGCGCTGAGAAGCATAAACAATGGCGGAGTGTCCCTCATGTACTTGGCCTTCAAAAGTGTCAAAGGAGTGTACCGTACCACTGTACCCCTTGCCCTACAGCCGCCTTTAACTGTAGCCAGCTGCGTCAGACGCCTCGGCAAATCCACCAAAGCTTAGTTTTCTCAGTGCAGTTTATCCGAGCGTCCGCTGTTCGCCGCAGGCGCCGACATGTGAGTGGGTCGAGGAGACTTGGCACAACAACATGCTTGATCGGTGCTAGCAGCAGCGAAGTGAATAGTCAATTGAAGGAAAAGACGGACGAAGGCAAGGTGGCCTATCGCAACGGACGTCAGTTTCTCAGCACAGCCTGCACCATTACACCGGTGGCCAGAAGACAACATGTAAATGAACAGCCAGGAGAGACTCCTTGTGATTCCTACTGGATGACTGACGTGCAGAGGGAAATCACCTGAACGTTCCAAAACAGTACGGCAAACTATGGAAGCTTCTTGCAGTGCATGCGTATTCCCCGGTTCGACCGCTTGTGCTGAGTTTGTTAGCGAAACTGCCAAGCCAGACGTGCTTCAGGAACTGGGGAGGTTGTCGAGGAACTTCCTGATGGCGTGACGGCGCGCAAGCGAGCGAGTGCGTCAGCTTTCGGTGAAGATACGTGAAGATGGAAAGTAGGGCCACTGGCACTTGGAAGATCTTGGAACGACTCCTCGAGTAGTTATTTTAATAGCACTAGCAGCGCCAGAGGACTGAGGAGAGAGTAGGTGACCGCGAGTAGCTTGTCTGCTAATTGCAGGCTGCCGATGTCCAAAAGGCGGTCCCAGACTCGGCTGAAAACGAATTGAAGTATGCGGACTTGTTGCGTAGTGACGGTAGCAAGCCTGCCCTGCGTCTGATCTTCTGCCAAAGAGATGGCAGGATGGCTCTTCGAAGGCCGACGCGTTGCAGCAGTTCATTCGGCATTGTGTCTGCCTTCGCAGTTCTGGCTCTGCAATTCCACTGTATCCTTTTATGTGCAGCTACTTCTGTGACCATCAACAGGCGCCCTCTCCGACGATGCCGCTGGGCGCACGTCCGCCCTGGCAGCAGGACAGACTACGACGGAAGAATCGCCAGAGCTGAACAAAGCACTTAGCACATGCCCTCTTTTGCCAGGCAAAGGCAGCGGCGAAGGCCTGGGTGGTTTCATGTAGACCACTTGTAGACCATTGCGCCAGCATCGCCGCGCTGTGGCACAGGCTTCCTCGGACCATCTCACTCAGACCCTCCCCCTGTTCCGCAAACTTTGAAACTGTATTAGTCACTGTAGTGTCAGCCAACATGTCCGACAGAGGCGCGCGAAGAGTGGAACGACAGCCAGCCATACAGCCGCAGCTGCTCCGGCTCCTACCCCGAGCCCTTTCGGAAAACTCTGAAAGGCGGCGCACTCACACCTGATAGTGGAATCCATATTCTTATTGCGGGGCTTGTGGCCGCCTGCACGCTCTGCCTGCTGCGATGGAAGGCCGGTTCGAGGGATCACAACACGGTGTGGGCCAAAGCGACTGCCGACTTGTTAAACCACTTGAGGCATTAACTGGCATAGACATAGCTAGCATTCGCGCTTTCCCGTCACAGCAGAAGTGCTGTGGCTGTGGCCTAGAGTAGAGACAAACAGCAGTACAGATCTTGATCTCACGGTGGCTGCGTGATTGAAATTATTCTTCGGCAATTCGGCATACCATGTGCTGTTTGGAGCAGGCAAGGCCGCTAGCGACTATGGCTCGCTCGAGACCGGCTCCGCGAATGCCTTCGTCCCAGGTTCCGCGCAAGCATTTCCGATGAGAGCGCCGAGCTAGATGTGGCAACGAAGACAGTCTTGCACCCGTAAATCTTCAATTGGTACATGTCGCCACCGTGTCGAAGTTTTGGTGAGAAAAAATTATGTTCTCAGGGCCCTCCCCAATTGCAGCTTTGCTCGAGCCAGGCCCCGGCCAAGCCATCGAGACTGAGGAAAGCAAAGCAGCAGCACGCGCAAAGCCGCTCTTTGGCCGCGACCAGCACTGTCCCAGCTTCCCGTTGATAGGTCCGAGACTCAGCAACGTTTTCTCAAGGTCCTGGAAGGATTTGCCGCCGCTTTTGCTGCCTTGGATCCTTTTCGGAACCTTGGCCGTCAGATAATCCAAATCCGCAGGAGGTCGTGCTGCTGCACAAAGTCAATAGACAGTCATGTCGTGCTCGCCTTCACTGTAGGAAGTTCTTACAGGAAGAGTGATTGCATGCCTCTTGGGCAGCCCGAATCAACGGTGTCGGTGTGTGTCGCGAGCCTCCAGAAACGACGCTGGTTTCGATTATCGTTGCGTACTGTGCAAGTGATTGGGGACTGTCTAGTTATCGAAATATGCGCCACTCCATGAAAGGCTCACAGCCTCGTTTGATAACCGATGGTGAGGACAAGCATCGCAAAATATCTTTGCCGACCAACCCATCGCCGGCGTTCAAAAGCGGAAAATCAGGCCACAGTGGCCGCAGCAGGCCTTCAACAAGCATCAACTTCAGGCGCCTGTCCACTTTGAGAGAGCCGTCAGAATTCGAAGGGAGCACCCCGAATGTATCAGCACAGCCCGTGGAGTCCTGCCACCGGGCCAGACGATGAGACTGCCGTTGGCCTTTTGCCTCCCGGACTCCCTAGGCGCAGGTGGTGGACTGCTGGGCATGAGCATGAGTGCGAGGTAGTCGAAAGAAACGCAATGAGCCATATCTAGACTCATTGTGAGTCGACCACGAAGGAATTGAGGCTGTTTGTCCATCATTGCAAATGCTCAGCCCAGGCATGGTTCTTCTGGCCACAGCGCTGGTTCAGGGCCAGGCAATCTCACTTCTGGCCTCTGCTGCATGCAGCTTGTCTGAGGCTAATCAATGTATAATGGCTGGACTCCCCTTCTCCTGATTATCGGACTCAGGCCTCAAACCAGTGCAGAGAATAGCAGAGAATGGTTGAAGTAGTCGAAGGGCCGCAATGCCGTACCTTCAAAAGGGTGCGATCCTGAACACCAAGGATGCAGCTGCATGCAGCTGCCATGTAGTTAGTCTCCTTCGCCTGCTCAGACTTGTGTGAAGCTTTACAAGTCTGATTGCTGTGGCTTGAGATGCGGGAGATGTAGACAGTGCGCATTGGAGAGTATGGTTAGATTTCGCGATGAGCCTCTTGTCACGCTGTGCACTCCAGTGCGGGAAAGTCGGGTTTGTCTTCTGTGGCATGTGCTGCCAAGCAAATCTTGACAGTCAATCTCAGGTTTCCTTCTCTCCGTGGGCTTTCTGCTGTTCTCTCGAGGGCCGGCTTGGCGCGTGCTTGCGATCAGCTGCTTCTGTATCACTCTCTTTGGCATCGTCCTCGGGCTGCTCGACTTTGCCGGGTTCGGAAAGAGAAAGAGTCCCGACTTTGGGGAGACAACTTGTGCTCAAGCACATGCTCGGAACCTCTGGAATCATGACAGTTGTCGGTGATAGGCCGGCGAAGCAAGTCACGGCATCTTGTTTTGGTCTAGGCTGTAGACTTGGGATTGACCACGTCGAGCCCAGGCAGTACGACAAGATCAAGTACCTGCCTCTTGGATCCTCTTGGACGTTGGACACGGTCGCTCGACAGCCGAAGCTCAGCTAGAAGACATCACGAAGTTCAGGTATCCCTACTACTTCTTCCAGCGCAGCCCTGGCTACTCCAATGTCGATCCGATGTCGAAGCCGGGCTCAGTGGCAGACGCAGGCAGCTTGGGCCTTTTGTACATGCGTGTATCCAATCAGGGCCCCTGGAAACGGGGCCCGGGGCCAGACATTCGACGACCCTTTGTTGCAGTGACATGACTTGCGTTTTTGCTGTGAGGCTACGTGAGCTTTCAGCCGGGCAGCTTGGCTTTGAGTATTCCTCTGAGTTCGGAACGAGCCAATCGTGTTCGCTCCAGTTGTGATTGAAGCTGTACTGGACAGACTGTAACGTGGGATCCAACAGTTTATAGAGAATTGCTGGGCCGCACGCAGGCTCTTCCAATCTGTCAAATCTGAGGTGCTCATGTGGACACTTCCCGAGGTGGGACAGACATGCATATGCCCGACCCCATACTCTCCGTGTTGGGCCAAGCATCGACGGTCCTGAGAAACGGTCGTAACATTTTGTATCGTGCGTGTGCCTTTGCCGTGGCCACCAACGACATGCTTGCCTGCAGGCGTTGGCTTCGTTTCCGGTACTCTGTGGTGCGCCGCACCCGTTGCCTCATGTCTGAAGAAACCTGGATGTGATACAAACACCAGAAGAAACAGTTCAGTAACTGGTTGCCGCGGTTGCCTCTGAAGGCAGAAATCAGAAATGTCCCGCGAGGTTATGGACGAGATGGCGACGTCAGCCGGCTACTGGGCTGTGGGCACTGACTGCTGCAAGCGTCAAGGAAGCTTCGAATGTGGGGATGCACAGAGTCTTGGCTTATAGTCGTGGCTAGGAAGCGTACAGCACAGCGCCAAGCCACAACACCGCACTATAGGAGGTTTCTTGCACATGTTGGTTGGAGGTTTGGGTAGTTTTCGCCCATTGTGGCATAGCTTTAGTGTTACTCACAGTGCCAAGCAAACCAACAGGTGATGCGTAGTAGTCCATGCCGTTCATTTTTCCGGGGAAAGCAGCACTCGGCGACGGCTACTAAGTCCGACAGGAGTGGGTTGCAAATCTGACTTGGGGTGTAATTCAATTCGGAGCTCCAGGGATCTCTAGGGCTTTCTTTCAAGATCTTTCCGGTCTGACAGTCCAGTTCCCTAAGATACATTGGCATGCAACGTTGCTGCTCTCGGTCATTGAATGAAGCTCCAGGCTTAACGTCCTGCATTTATCACTGAAGGGCACTGAAGGGGAGTTTTCTTGGTGCTGCTTGCCCAGGAACCGCTCGGTGAGGAGTGGTGTTGTGATTCAAGACTCCAGCCCAATTCTGGAAGGCCGGGGACTTAACTCATCATCCTGACCCCGTCCACAAAACCATCGCATTTGTATGGGAGGGAGCTGAAAACCTTGCATGCCGGCGAGGTGAACTTCCCAAGTACATTCAGGCTGCCAGAATGGCTGCGGAGACCTATGGCATCAACATGCCGCGGAATCCAATGCCACCCGATGCACCCAAAATTGCGTTCTCTCCCTATAGGCCTTAGACCTAGACCTGCAGTATATAGTCTTTGGGGTCTTACGGTTGACCGGTAGAACCTTGATCACATGCACAGGGGTGTATGCCAAGTGCCATTGCATCGGTTTAATCAGCTTGTAAACTGGAGCAAGCTGGGTCAGCACAATCTGTTAAAAGCCACATGAGGTTGGTATGTTAGGTGCAGTTTGTTGTGCAGGAGTTCTTCACGTAAAGCCCGGGCCAGGTTCATCCGCTGGAACGATACGCCCGAGAGACAAGAAAGTTGGTTCTGGCCGCTGGGCGGAAGGGCCCCCGTGGATCCTGTGGTCTTAGGTGTTGGTTTCAGTCGAGCAATTGCCGGGATCGACGCTCCGCCGAACCATGAACTTCAACCGAAACCTAGTTCTGCGACTTGCAGCATGTCATGTCATTTCTGTTTCATTAGTCACCGTGCTCGCGGTGGGTACAGCAAATCACCAGATGTCCACACAGGCCGTGTCAGACTTCGGATCTGAATCTCAAATATGACCAATTCAGGAGCAACGCCACGAATTTCGTCCTCGTTTCCTTGTTCGTCTTCTTTCTTCTGACACCCTGTGCCTTTGACGCACTTCTCAGCGGTAGCTAGATTTGCAAGCTGGTCTGGGACTTCGACGGGTGTCCTAGCGCACCATCAAGGGCGTTCTTTTAGCCGGTGGGATTTGCTTAAATACCCCGGGTTGATGCAACACTGAGTTGCGGCTTGTCGCGTAACGTCGATGCGTCCAGGTCTCCTCCTAGTCTTCGTGTGCACGGGCTTTACGCTCTTCGGCATGGAGGTGTGACATCATAAACATGCAGACCAGGTCGAGCAGTTTCACGCATGCTGTGCTATCACTTGCTCCTGCGATTGAATACGTTGCGGCGCTGACCTCATGCTGACACGTTTGTGCCTACACTTGCCTGCGCCAGGACAGTCCGCAGTGGCATCCAGAAAAACTAGACTTTTGGATATCATCAGACCGCTCATCAGTGCAACGTTCCGACCGGACAGAGTCGTGGGTGGATGTTCTGCGCAGAGAGGACACCACGCAGACAATCCAAGGACTTTATGACGTTCGGCTTCGACTGGACTTCCAGAGTTTATCCAAGCTACATCCGTCAGGAGCGGAGCTGAACATGCAAGCCGATTGAATGCAGCTTTGTATCAGTGAAGCGAGGGGGCGGCTTGCTACACATGTTCGCCGGGAGTTTGTGTTCTGCGACAGGCTGCCCAGAAGTTGAAGGTCAACTCCCATCAGTCTTGTATCAATCTAGCGAAATGTTGGATGCTGGATGGTCGGCTTTGTAACTATGTCAGGACCTGCTGTATGGCCGCACATTTTGGACAGGCGAGGTGATCGAGGACTATGTGTTCCATGCCTCGTGATTGCATCAAGTCTAGCTTGCCGAATTCATGTAAGCCAACCCGCGCTGTCTTGAGCCCTTGTACCTCGGGGCATCTGATTGTCCAGAACTGTTGAATCTGGAACATGATGTTTTATTCGCCAGATTCCCACTTCTGGTGAGGCGTGCCTATTTTGAGACAAGATGGCAGGGCTCAGAAACTCTGAGATCTTTCCCTCGCCTTCTCTTCTCTCTCATGCTCTGCTCGGATGTGTGACTGCACCGAAATTTTCTCGATCTTCCGTTGCTTTAGTGCTTGTTCACCCAGTTCGCCTCAACCTCCGATCTCTGACCGAAGGGCAGGCAGTTCGAATGCCGGGTTGAGGCGGAGAGCTAAGAGAATCGAGTCTCGGCCCGGTCACCGATTGAGCTTCTTTCGTGCTTCTGTTATTAAGAACATGTGCATCTGTGCACAGACCTCCAGAGTTCAGGTATCAAGTGCCCTGGGTATCCCCGAGCTGGCGCGTAAGTACCTCCTCCCTGAGACTTGATGAGGCTGCCAACCGGCATGTCTACTTGGGCATCCTGTTCTGCCATCCTGCTCACCCTTACAGCAAGTGGCGTGTTTGCACAGCCGGCACTGCGTCTGTGCTGGATACATGCCGGTGAGCAACCGCTTGATAATGCAGCTGGTAAATCTGCCTTGAGGTGGCAACGCTTGGTGGTAGCGATCTCTGCCTCCTGCTCCGTGCCTTCATTTTAGCCACTTGTGTAGCTTCACGGATGCCTTCCAGATGCGGATTAGGGTCTAGAAAATTTGCCGCATTTGTTGTGCACTTGCCTGAGCTGGTGCAGCGGATGCACAGGCATTTCTTGGTTCATTGTGACAGCTGTCGCGGCCTTTACCGGACAGACTGCGCTTCGCAGCTTGGCCGGAAGGGAGGGCTGTCTCTGAACTGTTCTTCTTCCAGAATTGCGAGAAGCCGTCAACCAGTAGACGTGCAACACCAGCCAGGCATCGTGACCATCATAGTCCTCTGCCTGGTGACACGAAACACGCTCAAGCTGGTCCTTCTCACGTACGGCATCGGGCGAGCGGCTTGGCACGGAGCAGATATTTGGGCCACCGGACCATAGGCACCGCTTGACCACTATTATACTTGTAGAAGCCACTGTGGCTTCACGCAGCGGCTGTCACACATTAAGTACAAGTACGGACACGTTTTCTTGAATAAGTGGAGGGCGGCCAAGCCCCCGGAGCCACAGAGGTAGAAAAGTGCTGCTTAAAATCGTATATCTCCATCCCACCCTCCCCCTCCACCCCCTCCGCCCCTCCACCCTCCACCACCTTTCCACCCCCCCACCCCCTCCTCCCCTACCCAACACTTTTTTCAAGGTTGGGTGACGTTTCCCAACCCTCCACTCCCCCACACCTCCACCCCTCCCTTGCCCCCTCCACCCACTGCCCTTCACCCCTCACCCCTCCATCTCACATATAAGGTGTTTTCGGCAAATACTAGCAGGGATGCAAGGGAACTTGTTAAAAGGACGCGTGAAGGGGGTGGAAGGGAGGGGTGGAGGTGGGTGGAGGGGAGCGGGGGAGAAGGGTGGACGGGTGGAGGGGGCTACGCTTATTCATTTTGGACTTGGCGGCCCGGGCCCGAAGCAAACGGAGGTAGTATAAAATATTTGTTTAGGTACTAAAAATGCGCAAATTTGAAACTCGTCACAGTACGTATAGGTGCTCCAGCATGCGGCCCGCAGGACTTTGGCGAGGCCCACGTGATTCGCAGCTCTCTTGGCACGGCCTTCAGTGTAAATGCCTTGGGCATTCTGGTGTTGCCCGGCTTGAAAGGATTCGCAGGGTCCGCTTAAAGTGAGCCATCCACCCCGGCAAGCCGGAAGCAAATCGAAGCGACGATGAATTTTCAATGTGAAAGCAGCAAAATTCAGCAAAGCAAATTCTTCTTCCTCGGGATGTGTTTGAAAATAAAGTCTGCCCAAGGCTGTACCTGGTAATGGCAGCCTCTGCTCTGGGCGCTGCATCGGCTCTTGTAAGCGCAGCAGGAGCGAAATCCATCGGCAGCTCGGACTATCAAGGAGGGGTAAGAGCATGGAGCAGCACGCATGGTGCAGAGTCTAGGGACGGGCGGCAATATTCTCATGGTATCTTCTACGACAGCCAAGCAGAGAGGCCTCAGGTGAAAAGCTGCCTCCAAAGAGAGCAGACTAAAGCATCCGAGCAAACAACTGAACAGTATGATGCCCAGTAGCATGAGAAGCCCTGTCAAGCCACGGAGGCGAGGAGCTCGGCAAGAACGTAGATGTCCTGGCCTACATGTATGCCTTCAGGCTGCAATGGAGGACTTGAGCTGGTTCCCTTCGCAGCTGTAGTGTCTTGTGTCCGGTAGCTGATGGTGCCAGAGCCAGAGGCGATAATTGGATGTCTCGCGCAGGTTTTGTTTGCTTACATATTTTTCAGGTCTTGACGACCAGAAACGTATTGTTGAAAGCTAAAGCGACGGCAGCCCCGGCGAGTCGTTCACTGAGGTTGTGCAAAAGGCAACGTGTCAACCTGTTTGAAATTCCTGATGTTCAAATCTTAAGTCAAGATTGCAGGGCAGACATCCACTTGGTATCCCTTGATCACAGGTCCTAGACTTCTTGGTGGATGCTGTGACGCCTTACGTGGGCTTGGACGAGCTCAGTGGTGTGTGGGCATTCGGCTTCTTTGGCAGGCCACTTGCTGAGTATCCGCGGTTTATATGCATAGATCGCAGGGAAGGAAGACTGGATGAAGTGAGTAAAAAATAAAGAGTGGAGAAAGCGAGAGATCTGGATGTTCTTGGGTAGGGGGAGGCACCTACACCACTGCACTTGATCCCGAACTGCCAAGTGACATCGGAGTCTCGCCTGCGGCAACCTGTGGAGCGGCAGGTTGTCGAAAACTTTGTGGAAGAAGCGGGGTGTGCTGATGTGTGCGGGATGACCGAGAGGGCAGAAACAGAGTTAAACAGAGATACTGCCGCACTAGCCAGAATGACGCGAAGGGCGAATCGGAAAGCTAGAATCAGGTGAGTAGACAGACTAAAGCAATAACATGTCGTACATACTCACGCCTGTCTGCTTGCTGCTAGCTACTGCTAGTTCCGTGCGGAGTGGATGCTTGTGTACATGGCCTCAGCTTCCATATATGTCCCTCAGCTTGATCCATGGTTTGGTGCAGATGGCGAGATGAACGAGACGAGTTCGAGTCGGCGAAAGCTAACAGCCACAAGACCTTTGGCTGCAGTACGGTATGTCTGCTAGTAGTACTGCGACGGAGATCCCTTTCCCGGGCGCCCTGACAGTTGTTCCATGTAGAAAGTATGATCTCCGACACGATCGATTTCCACTTCGGTGAAGGATGTGCTATCCGTCGCCAAGTGTGTTGCCTCTGGCCAGGTTCCGATGGACCTCGCTGGGCGCTGAGGTCCTGGGCATGGGCCCTAGCGGATCTGCTCCCAAGCGAGGCCTGAGTGATCAGTATAATTGATATAGTACATGGCGGTCACAAGGCTAGAAAACTGGTAGCTTGCTGTTGCTGAGCATATGCAAGTATGTAAAGATTCAGGGTGCCTTTGCTGTCCTTCCTGCAAAGCCTCTTTAAGCCATGGGCTGCGCCGATGAGATGGGCTTCAATCCAAGGGATCCTTTGGATATTTGGTGGAAAGGGGGAGAGTTCTCCAGCATCGCCGAAGTCTTCAGCTGAGCCGACGCAAGCTGGTTTTTGTGCCTCTGAGTCAGGATCGCTTTCGTGGCCGCCCCTCAGGTTGTGACCATCGCATTAGTCACCAAACCAAATACCGGGCCCAACAGGCGCGTCACTCTGCACCTTGCCGGCAGGCCAGGGCGATAGCTTCGTGGTGCCTCATGGCTGCTTGGCGGACGGTACGACTTTGCAGCTTCCGGAAGCACGCATGAATACAATGAGGATACATGCAGCGTGAGAGATGCAGTGCAAAACATACGAAACATCGACTTCACCAACAGCAGACCAGGCGCTTCCGCACCTGTTTCCGAACAGGTACCGTGCAGGCCACAACAACCCGAGGGGCCGCAAGCTTCGCATCAGCTGGGCGGAAGCGCAGCTCCTGAGGGCTGGTGCCCGCTGGGGCGAAGCAGTTAATGAGCATTGAAAGGCTGCCGCAATTTATGACATGCGCATAAAGCACGAAGTTTGAGTTTCAATTGATCTGCGCGGCAGTCGTTTGCTTGGTGTATAATTAGGCAGGTAGAGTGATCGTTGCCACATGCTGCGAAGCAGGGAAAGGTTTGCCAACTTGGTCGTTCGCCTGTCTGGACAGCTGGTGCACCATCCTCAGGTGTGCCGTCTAGTAGAGTAGTAGAGTTTTGCTGGCCAATGCAAGCAGTTCCAACTGTTCGGTTTTATCAAGCGACTGACGTATTACAACTCGACGGGGCGGAGTCCCCAAGCATGCCCAAGCCTCGTCTTGACCCTTCACCTCTCCCCGACCCATTCCCGGTCCCGTCTTTCGGCCATGGCCGCAGAGCTCCCGCGTGTCAGCCAAGCTGTCGCCAGGCGCCGCCGAGGCCCAAGGAGGGGCAAATTTGGCGCGAGCCGGCAGCCGAGGGCGCGTGACAGTCTCGACTGGCAGGGCTATACAGTACGGCAGGGTCATGCAATTCATGCAGCCTCGGAAAGTTCCGTTCTCTTGATGGGCTCAAGTGTCCAGAGCGAAAGTTCAAATTATTGGTTCTGAGGCATGGGCAGACGAGATGGTAGGATTCGAGCAGATATCCAGAAGCTAGTTGAGGCCCTAAATGGAGCAAGGTCGCAAGCACGAGCAGTCAAGGAACCAAGACTACATTTTCTGACTGTGGGACCGGCACAACCTTTAGCATTCGTCGCCATAGCTGCTTCCCGATCTGACGCTGCGGGCAAAGGGGCACGTACACAGGCATCTTCCTAAGCGCGGTGCTGTGTCTGCGAATTCTGCCAGTGCCGAGTATCGGGTCGGGGTCCGCGAAGCAAATGCGTGACAGCGCCAAGGTTGCCAGGGTTGAAAGGCTTCAGGGATCTAGAATGTTAGATGCTGACCCGAGAATATAGGTTGTCTGAGCAGTAGCTGCGGAACCGCGTGCGCTTTGCCGTTTCGGCTTGAGTACTTCCAAGGAAAGTAATGTGAGAGTAGTGGAGATGTGAATTCATTTCTGCCGGCGCGCTGCCGGTCTGCACCAGCCTGCATTCCTGCAGATGTCCGGCCATGAGCCGTATCCTGGGAAAAGTCCATATAGCATGTTGTCAGTGGACGAGTGCGTGGGTATGGTGACAAGCAAAGTACTTGGGCCACTTGAAACCCAGACAGTGCCACTGAATGCTGCTTTGGGGCGCATTTTGGCGAAAGACGCAGTGGCAATAGAGGCGATCCCAGCTTTTCCAGCATCCATTATGGATGGATTCGCGATGCGGTCCAAAGACGCCCCCGGAAAGTATCCAGTGGATGAACTTGCGGGTACCACTGCCGGCGCGGATTCGCGTGGACCACTGAGAGAAGACCACATACGCTATATCACTACTGGTGCGCCAGTGCCAGCAGGTGCAGACACTGTAGTTAAGGTCGAAGACACCCATCAGCTCCTGAACTGCATTGTCTCGGAATCATCACAAGATTTCGCAAGACTTGTATAGCCTAGTGAGTGTAGGGCTCCCCAGCACCCAAAGATAGAAGGCTGGTGGATGCGGACGGGAAGCTGGAGATTGAGGTGTTGTGTTCCAGCAAACCTGGCGCAAACATCAGAGCTGTAGGCCGGGATGTTGTACGCCATTCGAAGCTGCTAGCCGACATGCCAACCTGAACACCTGAGTGCCCATGCACAGGCTCGGACACCAAGCAGGGCGAGGTAATTCTGCGAAAATGCTGCCGTATTGGTGCTTCTGAGATCGGCGTGGCTGTTCCGAAGAGTGAGTTCTTGGTAAATGCACGGGCATGCAAACAGTAAACGCCTGGGGAGCTTGTGAAATCTTGTGAGACTTAAGACGTCGTCTTATCTTGCGAGCCTTTGGAGCCATTTTGTTCTTGCAGAACGTCGTGAGGTTCTGGCGGCTCTCGGCCTTGCAAGTGTGGAGGTCTTCCGGGAACCCAGGGTTGCCATCATCTCTACCGGTGATGAGCTGGTGGACGTAGGTCGGATTCCCAGGTTGACGGCGCAGCAGTACGAACATGGCAGGGCGTGGACTGACATTTTTAGATTGCCCGGTGCACTTCCCTGAGGCGCCGCTTGCACTCTGGATCGGAGCCGTGGGCAGATCGTTGACTGCAATCGCCCACTGCTCTGTGCACTCGCCCGGGAGCTTGGTGTGGAGGCGCACACGAGATCCCAAAGATATTTTCTTGACCCAAGCGCAGGCTTTGTTTTATTTTTTCTGGCTGCGGCACTCCTTGTTGGTTATCCGGCCTGGTGCCATCTGGGCCTGCTCGCTCTAGACTGGAAGTCTGGAAGAGTCTTGATCACGACACTTGAAGTTTTCTGGGTCATCTGCAACGGCAGTTATGCTGTGTTTGTCAGTGTCTGTTTTGTGGCCGCGGCTGTATAACTGTATAACACATGTTTTCAATTATTGAAGCTCACCTGCTGCAAATTTTCTTCGTGTGCTTGCGGGCACTGGGATATTTTGCGTTTGCACAGTCGGGAAGCGTTCCAACCTGGCAATAGGTCCCCAGTTTGCTCATCATTGCCACTGTTGCTCAGTTTGTTGCCTTACTCACTCAAACATCCACTCACTCACGCCCACGAGATAGAGGCAGGCAGGATGTGGGGTAAAGTGGATCTAGTTAGATCCCACTTGCAGATGCGATGTGTCTCCGTCGAAGTGGCTGACCGCGGAGCACATACCAGGGATCCGCAAAGGGGATTTGCCATGCTTCTCCACTCGGCCTGATTAGTTGTAAGCGCTTCTCGTTGTCCGCTTCGGCCCGGCTGCAAGTGAAGAAGGCTGATCATTTGCTGGAGACATACGCCGGCAACTTCACAGAGCCCAAACGGTACCTTTCAAGCCCCACACCCTCATCAGACAGTGCCACTTGTGCGACGCACGTGGTCAAGTTGAATCCCACTCAAATACACATGTCTTTACTCTCATCTACAACAGCAGTAAGCATTCTGCATGGAACACGCGAGCTCAAAAAGCGGCTGCTGCACGACACAATCCTGTTCGGGGTCTTGAATTCAAAAGCAGCAATGCATGGCTCGCCACTTCAGGACACGCTTCCTGAAGTCAGAACTTGGAGTTCAAGTCGGCTCGGACAGGACAATAGAAGTGGGGGGGAGGGGGTCGGGGGCGTACAAGCAGCCGAATCTATTGGAGTGCACGGAACTTCTGAACAGTGGCAAAGGAATTATGATTAAGACGTTGGGAAAGGGAAACCATGCGGGAAACTCTGACCGCTTCGGCCGAGGCCGAGGCGAATTAGTGCACTCTGTACGCCCTAATTACCCTCCGTCCGTTCGAGTGCGGCGGAAGATCGCGGCGTGAATTGGGCGAAGGCTTTCCATGTGACCACACGTGGCCTTCCTCCACTGCCAGGCCAATTTGAAAGCTGCCGAGCTGGGAAAGCAAGACGATCAGCCGAAGGATAACTTGATTTATCTAGCATGGTTTCATGATGGCGGCTCTGGCAAAGGAGCAAACAGTGGTGTCAAGCACTGTATTGGCTTTTGTCATTTTGTCAGGCTCCATCCCCCATCCGCCACCTACTCTTCTCTGGTTGTTTATTTTTTGTCTCGGCCTGCTCAGCTGACACCTGCGACAATCTCCGAGGGAAGACGCTCAGGTGAACCTACTCGGCGAGAGGGACAGAAGATGCTAATGGTGCTCCAGATGCCTTCCAAAAAGCTGCATGCATGTGCAACGCCCTTCGTCCCCTGCCCTCTAGGGCAATGACAGACAGAGAGAGAGAGAGAGAGAGGTAAGGGGAGCAATCCTCTTGCCCCTAACCCTTGCGAAAGAAAGAGAGAGAGAGAGAGAGAGAGAGAGAGAGAGGGCGCATTCAAGCGCTCGCGTGCGGGGGTTCGGGCGT